CCCCGTGTCCCCATCCCCGTGTCCCATCCCCGTGTCCCATCCCCGTGTCCCCAGCCCCATGTCCCCATCCCCGTGTGCCAGCCCCGTGTCCCTGCCCCGCCGGATCTGCGTGTTTACCCAGCTGATGCCAGGCCCAGAGCAAACACCGCAGCGCTTTCCAACCCTTTGCTCGCCGGCCGGGGCTCACCTCGATGGAGCTGGCGATGTTCAGACACTCCTCCATGCCCGGGATCTCCAGCTGCAGCACCTTCAGGTCCTTGCAGCGCAGCGTGATGGTGCCGGAGGAGCCGGAGACCCTGCGGGAGGGGGGTCAGGGCTGGGGGACACACGGGGACACACACACAGCACCGAGCTGCCCTCTCCCCCCGCGGCTGTGCCGGACTTGAGGCTCTCGTGTGGGATGGGCCACGGTGGGTGGGTGGCAGAGGCAAGAGAGCCAAAAAAATCCAAACCTGGTGTCCCGCAGGGAGCCGCCGGTCCGGGGGGGCTGGTACCAGCCTAAATTGTGCACTCTGAGGAGGAGAGGAGGGCAATGCCCGCTGCTGCCCAGCGCGGGCCGGGAGGAAGAGGAAGGCCGGGGCTGGGCGCGGCAGCGCGGTGCCCCTGGGGTGCCCCCCGGGACAGGGACCGGGGGAATCCTCCAGCTCGGGCAGGGGTGACACGGCTGGCGGGGACAACCCTTGGGGACAGCCCCACCTTTTCTCCACGGCGTCCACGTTGCGGATGAGCAGCCAGAGCTCCAGGTCGCCGCGGGGGCTGGAGGAGAGCAGCAGGTGGTGGCTGGTGATGCACAGGGTGCCCCTGACCGCCGGCAGCCCCGGTCGCGACAGCAGCACGTTCTCCACTGTCGCCGTCTTGATCAGCTCCGAGAACTCCATGGGCGCTGCCTCTGCCCGGCGCAGGGGAGGGAGGAGAGGGAGAAAGGGGAAATCCTGCAGCTCTCGGCCCGCCTGGAAACCCCTTCCCTGCGAGTCACGCGGGGCCCTGCGGGCTGTCCCCCCCTCCCCGTGTTGACATTGTCACCTCCAGCACGCGGGAGCGCGACATTCCCTCCACCAGCGGGGAAACTGAGGCACGGGGGGCTGAGCTGGCTGGAGGGGATTTTTTGGGGGGCAATGGAATTGCAGGGAGCGGCTCCCGGTCCTTCCCTGCTGCCTTGGGGCTGTACCCCGCTACCTGCCCCGACACGAGCAGGCTGCTCTGCTGTCCCCAAAGCCACACCAGGGGCTGGGGACGGCGCAGGAGGAGGAGGGCGGGAGGGTGGGAGGGTGGCGGTGCTCCTGCCCCCGCCACCTCTCTGCTTACCTGCTCGGGCTGGGTGCCAGGTGGGGACCGCGGGGGACAAGCGGGGTGCAAGCAGGGGACCTCCGAGAGCCGAAGGGGACCTGCTGGCCATAAGGAGAGGACTTTTGGGGTGCCAGCAGGGGACCTTGGGGCACAAGGAAGAGTTTCAGGGTGCAAGGAAGGGATTGGGGGGGCACTGGGAGTCCGGGGGTGCAAGGAGGGGACCCCGGGGTGGCAGCGGAGGAGTCGGGGGTGCGAGGGCGGGGATCGGGGGGTGCGGGAGGGGGAGTTCGGGGACCTCGGGGTGGAAGCGGGGAGGCGGCGGCGATGTCCCCGCACAGCCCGGCCCGGCTGGCGGATGTCGGGTTTAAGGTGGCCCGGTCCGGGGGGACGCGGCGATTCCCGGGGCTGGGGCTGGGGGTGGGAGGGTCACTGAGTGCGGCGCGACAGCGAGGGGACACGGGGGGACCGTGGGAAGGGACACGAGAGGGGACAGCGGGAGCCGGGAGCAGCGCAGGGGGAGCACGCGGAGAATTTGGGGGCTACTCTGGGAGAGCTGGGGGGGACAGGAATGGGCACCCACGGGGCAGGTGAGAGCCGGGGGACGCGGGTGAGACCCCTGAGCCTCCTCCGCTGCCTCCGGGCCCCTCCGGGCAAGGAGGAGGTGGCACAGGACAGATCCAGACGCGGTTCCACCTTAAGGTCCCGTCCGGGTGCGGGACCCCGGCTGCCCCCGGTGGGCATCCCCCGTTTCTTTTTCCTTCCTTGAGCTTTTTCGGACCCCGCCAAGGGGCCGGGGAGCGGCTGAGCCCGGGGATAAATCATTCCCGCTCCTCCGTGCCCAGTGAAGGCTCCGTCCGGGAACGAGGAGTTTCCTCCCGGGCGGAGACAATGATGTTAAAAAAGAAAAGGAAAAAAACAAAACAAAACAAAACAAAAAAACCCCAAAAAAACCCCAAACACAACAAGCCAAAAAAACTCCTTTGCACTCCTCTGGATAAGGAAATTCCTGCCCATCGGACTTGTCCTCGAGGGGTGGATAAATAGCCGGGAGCCGGCTGCAGCTGGGGCAGGGAGTGGGTGGGTGGTCGTGCTCAGGGTGGGGGCTTCATTTCCCCGGGGGAAGTGTTGAGGGAGCGGAGATCTTCGGGGCGTTTTGGGGGGGCTCTGTTTTGTCCCACCATGGCCTTCAGCCAGCTGAAATTCAAGGAATTGGGCGAGGAGGAGCCCACCTGGGAGGAGGAGAACCTGGACAGCGTGAAGGCGCTGACGGCCAAGCTGAAGCTGCAGACCCGCAGACCCTCGTACCTGGAGTGGGAAGCTCGGGTGAGGGGGCAGCGCTGGGGGGCTCGGACCCCCGGGGGCAGCCGGGGGACAGAGCAGAGCCCCGGGCAGCCCAAGGAGCAGCAGGATGGTGGCGTTTGTGGCTTTGCCACCATGGAGGAGGCTCTGGAGTGGCTCAGGATGGAGCTGGTGAGTAGGACGGGAACCAGGACCGGGATGGGGTCACCGTGCCCGAGCTGACCGGACACGGCAAGGTCAGGGCGCTCCTCTGTCCTCCTTGCTGGTTGTACACGGGTTTTTCCAAGATTTTTCGTGGCTCCGCGGTGCCCCAGCCCTGCCCCTGACCCCACACAGCAGCGGCGGGGGTCGTGGCCTTGTCACCCCCTCCTGCCGCTCTGGGGGTGGCACAGACGGCACAAGCCGAGCTGTCCCCGCGCTGTGACCGTGCCCTGGCAGCCGATCCCGCTCCATCCCCGTTCCCTTCTGCCCCCAGAGGGAGATGCAGGCTCTGGACCAGCGGCTGGCGCAGCAGCTGATGCGGCTGCGGGCGCGGCTGCACAGGCTGAAGGTGGAGCAGGCCTGCCACCAGCACAAGGAGATGCTGGACGACGCCACCTTCGGCCTCGAGGGCTGCGAGGAAGACTCGGATCTGCTCTGCACCATCCCCCCCAAGGCCGCCTTCCTGCTCTCCACACCGCTCAAGCACATCGGCGTCACCCGCATGAACATCAACTCCCGGCGCTTCTCCCTCTGCTGAGCCGCCCCCGGAGGCTGCGGGGGAGCCTCGAGGGAGTTTTGGGGCTCAAAGATCCCTCCCCAAATCTCTCAGCACTCGGGGCGATGCCACGGCTGGCACGGGAATGTCACCATCCCCAGGGGACATCGGGCGTTTTGGGGCCTGGCCCTGAGGGCGGTGGGGTCAAGCCCGGTTGGAAATGTGGGGAGCGGCTCTTTGAGGAGGAATAAAAGGAGGTGAGGGTGCGAGCTGATGGTTTTTCCTTCCAGAAAAACCAGTTCCAGATGTGGCTCCTGGACTTTTTTTGGGAGGGTGACAGCTCCAGGTGCCACTCGGGGATGTGACTTTGACAGAAGCCTGTGCACAAGCAGTGCCAGGGAAGCTGTGGGGTGAGCCAGGGATCACTTTTGGGGCTGTTTCTCCTTCCCAGGACGCGAGGAGATCCCGAATGTGCCCCTCAAGCTGCCACAGCCCCCCCCTCCCGACACCTCTGGGCTTCCTGCCTGTGCCTGTGGCTTCTCACTCCATCAAAAAAGCCAACACAATGCTGCTGGGGCTGCTCTGAGCTCTCCAAAGCAGCGCTGGCAGGGGCAGGACGTGTCCCCTGTGTCCCCTCAGCTCCAGCCCTTGTCCCCGCGGCGGTGGCACGGCGGTGCCAGCCGTGCTGGAGCTGCAGGATGTGTCCCACAGGGGACCTTGGGGCACAGGGAGGAGGCTGAGGGTGCACGGAGGGTGCCCGGGGTGCCAGCGGGGATTTGGGGGTACGAGAGGGAGAGCTCGGCACGGAGCAGGGCACTGCCAGGGCAGGGGACCCAGGGGTGCTGGCAGCAGGTGACAACGCCCAGCCCATCTGAGGGTCTCAGCATCCCCTCGCCATGGGGGGACCCGGGGATGGCAGGAAGCCATCAGGGTTTGTCACTCGCTCTTGCGGTCGGGAGCGAGCTGCGAACGGGCTCCTCTTGAGTTTGCTCATGAGGCAGGAAACCGGGGCAAGGCGGGGAGAGCAGCAGCGGGCGGCAGCGCAGCCGGGCTCGGGGGGCTCCTCTGTGCACCCCAAAAGGTCCCACCCGGGTTCGGGGGGCTCCTCACCGCACCCCACAGGATCCCACCCGGGTTCGGGGGGCTCCTCTCCGCACCCCAAAAGGTCCCACCCGAACTAGGGGGGGCTCCTCTCCGCACCCCAAAAGGTCGCACCCGAGCTCGGGGGGCTCCTCTGTGCACCCCACGGCTCCTGGGGGATGGCGAGGACGTGATCCCAGCAGGACATGGGACTCTGAGAGCGGCCGGTGCTCACCTCGCTGCCAACAGGTGAGAGCCGGGGGAAGGGGTCTGCGGGTCCAGCTGGGATTTTGGGGAGCAGCTGGGGGGGCTGGGGGGTGAGCTGAGCTCTCCCAGTGCCCCTCGCAGGGGTGGAAATGCGCGTTCGGGCTCGTTCTTGGCGGGTTGAGAGCCCGGGTGGGGATGGGGGAGAGTCAGGCTGGGCCCTCCATCCCTCTGGGGCCTCCCAGGTGGGGGAAAGGCGCTGTCCCAATGTCCCCTCCCCGCCTGGGGGTCCTGCCAGGGGTGCCAGCTCTCCCCAGCCCCCATTTCCAGCACAACGCAGGAGTTTTGGCCCCAGGGCTGCGGCAGCAGCTGGGTGCCGGTCCCTCAGGGTTGCTGCTCAGTTTGGGGGTTCAGGCGCTCAGAAATTCCCATTTTTGGTGCTGGCTCAGCGCAAACACCTCCCTGCTGCAGTGGCAGCCTTGGGGACACGGTCCCTGGTGTCCCTGCCAGGCTGTGGCCGTGCAGAGGGCTCACAGCTGGCTCACAGCTGGCTCAAGGACACACAGGTGACCCTGGCAGAGCACCAGGCGCGGGGTCAGCCCAGATTTCATTTCAGATTTGATTTTCCTCACGCCTGCCCACACTGGTGGTGTGTTGGTGGTGTGTTTGTTGGTGACAAACCAACAGGACCCGGCCAGGGCCACGTGGGCGGAAGGGACAGCACAGGACAGGGAGCCAGGGGGGTCCAAACCCAGAGGGAGGGAAAAAAAAACCCAACAGGGAGAGGGGGACACACCTGGCGAGGACACCAGTGCACACCTGAACACGCTCACACTCCACACCCCTCCCTGCCAGGCCCCTTTGCACAAAGAAATTCGGTTGCACAGATGCAGCCACCACAAAAATAAAACCCGACTTCAAACGTCCCCTTTTTTTTTCCCTCCTGCGTGGCCCTGGCGCAGGTGGAACTGCTGCTGCTCGGTGGAAATTACGCTGTGGCTTGGGGCTGAAAGAAAAAAAAGGCACAATAGCAGCACCTCCCTCTCACCCCGGGAGGAAAAAACAGCTCCCGGCACCTCTCGCCTCTGCTGGAGGTGTTTGAAGAGCTCCTCCATGGGGTCAGGGATGGATTTGGGATTTCTCAGCTGTCCCTTTGCTCTGGCCAATGAATGTGGACACATAAAAGCTTGGCTTGAGCTGGGTCCTGCTTAGAAAGGCCCTGAAAATGTTGATGAATTTTGGATTTTTTACTCTCCTGCCTACCAGCCGAAAGGTCTTGATGGTGCTGGTAATTACAAGGAAAGAGTCAGCAAAAGAAAATCTGTGTTTGAATGCTGTCACCCTTCCTGCAGTGTGGCCAAACCCCTTTCTGGGTGCCAAAAGGTGTCCCCAAATGGGTGTCACCAGGAGCTGAAGGCACCAGGGTGAGTTTTGAGTCCCCACAGCAGCGTTGCAGGGCATGGGGACCTCACTCCTGAGCGTCCTCCTGGCCAAAATCACCCGTCACCTGCTCCTCTGGCCACTGTGGGGACAGTCCTGGTGTCCCTGCCACCTCTGGACCTGAGGGAGGTGGCTCCTGGTCTAGAGAATCAAACCTGGAAGAGCAGGCTGGGGGGCTTGGACTGGCACTGGGAGCTGGCAGCACCCTGGAGACCCCAAACCCTCTCTGGGGACCCCAAACCCTCCTTGGAGACCCCAAATCCCGCCTGGGCACTCCAAACCCTCCCTGGAGACCCCAAATCCTCCCTGGAGACCCCAAACCCTCCCTGGGGACTCCAAACTCTCCTTGGAGATCCCAAACCCTCCCTGGGGACTCCAAACTCTCCCTGAAGACCCCAAACCCTCCCTGGAGATCCCAAATCCTCCCTGGGGACCCCAAATCCTCCCTGGAGACCCCAAATCCTCCCTGGAGACCCCAAACCCTCCCTGGGGACCCCAAACCCTCCCTGGGGACCCCAAACCCTCCTTGGAGACCCCAAACCCCCCTTAGAGACCCCAAACCCTCCCTGGGGACCCCAAACCCTCCTTGGAGACCCCAAACCCTCCTTGGAGACCCCAAACCCTCCCTGGGGACCCCAAACCCACCCTGGGGACCCCAAACCCTCCTTGGAAACCCCAAACCCCCCTTGGAGACCCCAAACCCTCCCTGGAAACCCCAAACCCTCCCTAAAGATGCCTTGCAAGGCTCAAACGAAGCCCCCGCTGCTGTGTCCCCTTGGCACGGTAGGAAAAGCTGGATTTTGGAGCATGCTGGTGAAAACCCAGGCTCCCAGACAGGAAAACAAGGAAAAAAACCAACACCAGCATCCCAGGAAAGCATCTCCCAGCCCAGCTGGGCTTTGGGCACTGGAGCTTGGCCTGGCTGCCACATCAGAGCTGGCACAGCGAGGTTTGGCAGTGGGGGTGACACACCTGGGCTGCCTCACGGTGACAAAACCGCCCCGAGCCGTGAGGAAACCACACCTGGGCCCCTAAAGAGCCGCTGGGGCTGAGCCTGGGGAGGAGGGAGATGAATTCCGGCCCCGTGGGCACGGGGGATTCTGCGGAAGAGCTTTTTCTGCAGCCCACGCGCTGCTCCCGTGTTTGTGCCACGCTCAGCGTTCTCAGGAGAGACAGAGGTGACAGAGCTCTGCCCTCCATGGTGACAGGGACACCAGTGTGACCCTGGCTGGGTTTTGGGGGCCCTGGGTGTTGCAGGGACGGGGGTTTAGGAACATCCCTGATGCAGCAGAACGGGGGCTGAACGTCGGGAGAGGATGGGAATTTGTAGGGAGAGGAATTTGGAAGTGCCCACATCCAGCTGTGAGCCCAGGAGCTGATTTTAGGATCGGGGAGAGCTTTCCCAGCCAAAAGCTCGTTAAAGCCGAGCTGCAGGAGTTTATTAATTGCTGATGGGATATTAATGATGAGGTTGTTATCTGCAGGGAGAGCAGAGGGATCAGCCCCAGAGCTGCACGGTGGGAGGAGCTGGCACCACGCACAGCGCCGGGGACACAGGAGCCTCAAGCTGGGGACTAATTGACTTCAGTGGTTTTAATTAATGAAGGCAGGATAAACAAGGAGAAAATGACAGCTGGTGACAGCCAGGGAATGTCCCCAGTTCAGCTGAGGAGCTGGGATGGGCCAGGTGGTGTGGGAAGGTGGATGATGGATGGATGATGGATGGATGATGGATGATGGATGGATGATGGATGGATGGATGGATGATGGATGGATGGATGGATGGATGATGGATGGATGATGGATGGATGATGGATGGATGGATGGATGATGGATGGATGATGGATGGATGGATGATGGATGGAT